AAATAACTAATCAAACTCTAAAATTATATATAGGTGTGGTAAACTTATTTTCATGGTTGATGGGAATAATTTATAATTTTTTAATAAGTAATTTATTTAAACTTTGTATACCACCTAGTAAGTGTACTAACCCCTATAAAATCTCTATTTTTTACAGAAACAGAAATATCTAAGATCTTAAACCTATCTAATATTTATACTATGTCAGTGCATGATGTAGCTATTCAATAAAACAAAATATCATATTTTTTTATTTAATTTAAAATATGTCGGCTAACCCTAACGAAACTAATTTATTTTCTTGTAAATGTTATTTATAATATTTAATCTCTTTAGTGTTATTATATATATATATATATATGTATAATAAACTTATTTTCATGGTAGATGGACATCATTTCTAATTTTTTATTAAGTAATTTATTTAAACTTCATATACCACATAATAAATGGACTAACCCTATAAAATTTATATTTTTTAGAGAAACGAAAACATCTAAAGTCTTAAACCTCTTTAATAAGTGGACTAACTCCTATGAAATTTTTTTTTTCTAGAGAAACAAATAACTAAGATCTAAAACCTTTTTAGTCTTCATACTATCTCAGTACATAATATATCTATAAATTAAAAAAAAAATTCATTTTATCTTAAAATATATTGGTTAAACTCTACAAAAGAAAATTAATTTTTTGATACAATAACTATAATATCTCTCTTATATTTATGAAGCCTTCGTCAGTATCAATATCCTCAAGACCTTTCACATTTATTGTCAATCTACTGTAACGTACGTCGTTCAGTGTCCATTTAGCACATTCGCAACTAATTCTTCACATCAAATTATCATTAAACCATACAAATAAAATTATATCCATTATTGTAAGCTCAAGCTCAAGAACTTGGAGCTTGGGAAGTTGCTGGAGTGGTGGAGTTTTCGTTCGTATACATATGTTAAACATGGAGAACGATGCGTTACACATATTTCGAAAAATAAAAAAGAAACATCAACGTGCAATGATGTAGAATATTTCTATATGTCATGGTTGACGAATTTAGAAGATTTATGATGTTAAAATATAAGAAAATAATATATTAAATAATAAAAAAATATTTAATATATATTTTAATTTTTACCTAATTGACGATTAAGGATTTTGACGTTGTAATTTGCAGAAGGAAACATAAAGGCTTTTGGAATTTTATAGCTGAGTGGGTTGGTAGACTTGATCAACAGACGTTGAATCAAACAAGTTGGATGTGTTAAGAATCAATTTGTATCTAGTTGTGTAATTCGAATCAAACAAGCTTTTAAAAGATTATATAAAGATTTCTTATAAGAGTAAAAAGATTATATAAAGATTTTTAATAAGAGATAAGAGGTTTTGAAATTACTTTCTGCCTTCTGTTTTTCCGTTGTATCTCAGTTTTACACATATTTCTCTTGTAGGGTGTTATAATCAATAGTCTGAGAATCAGACTACTCGCATGATAATATTTTTTATTTTATATAAATTGGCTATGAATGATGTAATGATTTTCTTTTTTTTACAACGAAAGGCTTATATATTATTTAAGCTTGAAGTGGTATGGGAATCCAGACCGGAATAAAACAACCAACAAATATAATATCTCGATAAAAGGATCGAGCAGTCTTGGCTAAAGAATCAGACACAGCATTTTGAGACCTATGAATGTAGAATATCTTGAAATCTGGGAAGCAGGTCCGCAGCGTCAAGAGCCTCTCCAATTCTGTCGAGAAATTTGGCCAATCATGGGGGTTCCTTAGCATCGCTATTAATTTCTTGCAATCCGTTTCAAAGCTCTGATATGGCGAATGTTGAAGCATGTTCTCCATTACCTACCGCAGTACTTTCAACTCAGAGTGCAAAGCCGACTCCACCCTAATAACATTACGCATACCTATCAACTGACTATTATGTTTGTACATTTTTATCAATTATATAGCGATTTCACGTTTTAATGAATTTAAACTTCTTAAAACGATTTACTAGTTCAAAATGTCTTTACGTAGAATCAATTTAACTAACCTTTACTGGATCTTCTAAGTTCAAACACATTAATAACAATAAAAATGAAATTTTGGATAAATGTAAAACCAAAATAAAATTTCGTAGAATTAAAGAAAAAAAGGGATTGCTTGTGAAGGGAAATGAGTGAGCGGTCGTTCTCTGGTGGAGCAGGTCGGTGATGCCGTTGTCCTTCCCGTTTCCTCCTTCATTTATTATCTGTTCACCTTCTTAAATTTAAGCTTCTACTTCCTTTCTACTTTTTTCTTTGCAATTTTTCTTAAGATTTAGTGATAGAGAATGACTTTTTAAAAAAAGTTAATTTAATTAATTTTGTGTGAGAAGCAAAAGAAACAAGAGTGCCATGTAAAAGTTCAGTAAAAAAAAACAAGAGTGCTATGTATATAAAGAAAATGCAAGTTCTGTAAGTTTTTAACAGGTGTGACTGTGTAGTGATATCTTACTCCTAATCACAATTAATAATCTCCAAACTTGATATACATTATTTTGCAACTTGCTATTTTCTCTCTTAGTCATTTTCGAAGCTACTATTAAATTTGATACAGACATATATTACATACAAACAGACAAAGACAAGGAATGGACCCTTTTGTCATTTAATTGACACATACTAAGAGAGATGTTACAAACAGTCTTTTACTTTCATTTTAGTTATTTTTGTTTCACCTAATATCTCAAAATTTAGTGTCAAGACGAGAAACAGTTCTTTTTATCGAAAAAAGAAGAAAAAGTGTCACGACTAAATACAAATTTACTAACACAGTAATTCTGAACAAAGTTACTATGACTTTTTACATTATTTCTGTTACACAGTGGCCAGTACCGTCTCTGCGTGTAAAGTGGTTAACTTCAATTAAGTTATTCAAAAATAAGTTACATGAAATAGTGTTACTGAGTATATAACCCTTATTGCGTTTAACTACTAATTGATGTTCTGGCAAGTTTAGTACTACAGTATATATACCAGACATATTATTTAATATATTGACTAAATCAATTATTATTTTCCTTTTTGACAGGACCAATTAGAGTGTTCGTGGTGCAGAGCAGTGTAGTTTAGTAGACCGACGGTATCATGTATTACTTGTGCAAATAATAAACGGAAATAGGAAAAAATAACAATTGAAAGAGGATAAAAAGAGTGTCACAGATATATAATCAGAGCTAGAGAGATAGGCTCCTTGAAGAAAAATAGTTTAGATCTCGAAAAGTACATAAACTATTAATAATGAATAGGCTTAGGTAAGCCTATGCAAGTACAGCAGGTTTTGAATTATTGGATGAAATATTTGTTCAATACCCAGATTTACTTTTAAAAATCTATATATATTATACGGTTGTCTAGCGTTTAGGGTAAAAGAATGACTTGGGAGATTTATCATAAGATCGTGTGGGCAGTTAATGTTTAGTGAGCTAGATAGTGTAGTACGTTTTGCATTTACTACAGTTTAACCTGATTTTTATATCAGACTACGCACGTGTCACCGCCGGCAACTTGATATCTTCAGCTATTAAATTTCTTTTATATTTATAGTTGAATAACTGATTTGATAATAGAGGAATAGACTTTCTTCCAATTATTAAACATAAACATGATCTGAATTCTGAAACATTGATATTTTTTTTCGTAAGCTGTTATTCCAAAAAGTTTACCAAAATGATTTTTAGTTCTTTCTTTTTAACTATGAGTAAGAAAATAGTATCAAACAAAACCATTTCAAATTGTAATACATAATTGATTTAAAAGTTGAGAAATAGTAGTTTATAAGAAAGTTGTTATTTGATAATAAAAAAAAGTTAACGAAAAATGAAAATGGATCTCAGGGAGAATGTTTATAAAATACAATAAATAAAAAAGGTCTGACTCCATGAATGTATAATGATATGCTTACACCCGCACGCATAAACCTCTGCCATCTTACTGCACACTCCTTTCCCTTTTCTTCTTAAAAGTAAAATCTATTTGCTTTCATTTTGATGATAACCATAAAATGCAATCTTCTATAGATGACATTATTTATTTCACATTTCTTGAAATCTGAAAATCTCAACTGCCATAACAATTATTTTCGGTAGAGAAATCGATTGCACATTGCATTTCAGTTGATATATAATTAAGGACATTTTAAACTGCATCATTGAATCTTTCAACCTAACGGTCTACTCATTTTAAGCTGCACATCCATGCATTTCAGTTGATATCTAATTAAGGACTAATATACTTAAACAAATGTATTAATGAAAACTCCTAATTTGATGAGTGTTGGCTTGGCATCTATTTCAACTTGATATAATGGTATCCACCAAAAAATACGTTATCAAACCACTTTTATTTTTTGGTCAAACACACAACAGGGGAAATGCATGGTTTTTATAATGATCATATATCTTATACTTCCATTTAGATAAATTATTGTAAAAAACAAAGATTATATAAATGTGACTTCAGTGATCCATTGACCAATCGAGTAGTCATTAACGAAAGATCATAACTTAACATCACATTGTCTCAATCAAAACTCCAAAGACCATAAGAATTTCGTTAAAGCAGTATAGTGATGAAACACAAAACGGCAAAGAGTCGTTTTTAGAATGTCATAAATTGATTATTTGCCCATGAAATTAAAAAGAAAAAGAAAAAAATAGAAAGAGACTCCTGAAAGCTCCCCAGGTAAGGCAAATAGCTTCCTCTACTCCCTGAATTTCACAGCCTTTATCATCAATGCTCCTCTAACCTCAAACACTCAAAATCCACACACCTCTACACATACTTTTTCTCGCCACTATATCTTCGATTTATGTGCCATTTTGTATATAAATATATAATATTGCACACAATAAAATTACACTGATCACCATCACCTTTTGCATCACTGCTCTCTTTGTTCTCCTTTTTCGTGTCTCTTCTAGTAACAAGACTTTAAAACGTCTCCTTTTTATCAGTTATAATAATTACACAATGATGCTTGCAGTGGAAGATGTGTTGAGCGAGCTCGCTAGAGAAGAAATAAACGATAGAGGATTGCCACCAGGCTTCCGGTTTCACCCGACGGACGAAGAGCTCATAACATTCTACTTAGCTTCCAAAGTCTTCCATGGTGGTCTCTGTGGCATACACATCGCTGAAGTTGATCTCAATCGCTGCGAGCCTTGGGAACTTCCAGGTAACTTAACTTATTATATTCTTTAGTCATGTTTTTTATTCTGTTTTCCGTTGTAACTCCTATAAAAAAAAACTCTAAAATGTTTACCAAAAAGAATAATCTTAACCTATTCTTTTCTCTAACGTTTTGTTTTCCTTTTGTTTTGTAAATCTTTCGTGACGTTTCTTGTTTTTCTTGTTTTGTTCTAAAGAAATGGCAAAGATGGGAGAGAGAGAGTGGTACTTTTACAGTCTAAGGGATAGGAAGTATCCGACGGGGCTAAGGACTAACAGAGCCACGACTGCTGGATATTGGAAGGCTACCGGAAAAGATAAGGAGATATTTTCCGGCGGTGGTGGAGGAGCGCTTGTCGGGATGAAGAAGACCCTTGTGTTCTACAAGGGAAGGGCTCCACGTGGCCTCAAGAGTAAGTGGGTCATGCATGAGTATCGCTTCGAAACCGACCTTTCACACCGCCACACTTGTAAGGTTAGTACATGATAACTCTTGTCACCCACACGTGCGTCTTAAGACTTTTATTACTACCAGATTAAACGGATTTAGTTATGACTTTGGCACTATTATGAGTTGACCTTTAGAGTGATTTAATATTTAACATTCGTTAAACCCACCCGTGCGTCTCTTAAACTTAAGATTGTAGGATTAACTATAGCACTGTGAATTTAATATGAACAATTAACGAGTTGACTTGAAAAGAAAAGTTTAACTGAACTATTTCACCTTTTTCCCATACTCATTTGTTATTCTATTTAATCAAAACTATTTTTTCAATAGTATTATCATTATTTGGTTTAGCCTGTATAAAGTTGTATTGTATTGGGAGGTCAGGGGAGAGAGCAGTTTAGATGTGATAGATTTGATATAAACCTATAACCTGTATGTGTGAATGTCAACACCAAACACTTTGCCGTTTCCTGTTCTACCATGCAACACTTTTGTAACGTTTTCATCACTGTTGCTTTCTTTAATTAACTTACATGAAATTGGTCAGGCTCACATATCAAACAAGATCTCTACCGATCTTGGTTAGTTGTATTTATTACAAATACTACAAATATGAAATACGTATATGTTTAAATACCCATATACTTTATATATTACTTTGAAACATAATGTCTAATAGCATTTTTATGTTTAATCCGTGGTGGTGACATAGGAGGAATGGGTGATCTGCAGAGTGTTTAACAAAACAGGAGACAGAAAGAATGTTGGAATCCATAACCAAATCAGCTACCTCCATAACACTTCACTATCAACAACGCAACATCATCATCTTGAAACCTTGCCTCCTCTTCTTGAACCTTCTAAAGCCCTAACCAACTTTCCACCGCTACTCTACAATGATACACACCAAGATTACAATAATGACCTACTCCATGGATCATCATGCCACAAAGTCGACGAGCTCAAAGCCCTAATCAATCATGACGTGTCTCAGCTCAACGGAATCATCTTCTCTCAGGAAAACAATAAATACAACAACAACGAAGATGACTACTTCGGCGTGAAGACCGAACAATATTCGAACGTTGGCAATAACGATCTTGATGTACGAGATTACTTGGATAACCCTCTTTTCCAGGAAGCGGGTTACAGTCTGATGGGTCTTACGTCTTCTCCTGGACCTCTTATGCTATATTAGATTCTCCATAATGTCATTAGGTTTCCAGCTCTAGAATCCAGGACTTTGGATTATATATTTGGTCTTTTGTTCTTTTTACCTTTTTATATATATTTTCAGCTTTTGTAAAATACTTAATTATAAAAATATTATTATTCCTAAAATTCCAGATCTTTTGTAGATAGGATATGCTGTTTTTTTTTTTTTTGTAATATGGCTGCACAGAGCAGCACAGCCTTGCAGGAAAAGCTATTAGTGGGCGTTTTGCTGTTTGATATGGTGTCATAAATACGAATGGCGTCGTTTTATGGGGATTTTTTGTGGGATGGGCTATTTCTTTCTTTATCATTTGTCTTGTTACATTTGGGATGAGTTGGCCGGTTAGAGAATCGGCAATGTTAAAAATAATTTAAACACTAAACTTAAAATATAAAAGGTTATACACTAGTTAAAATATTACAAATATGAAGAGAAGAATTTTTTTTGTTTTTTCCTATTTTCTTACATAATTCATTCATTTATTTTATTATTTATTTGGTAAGATCTGTTATAGTTTATAACTAATAAGGATGTATTTACATGGTCTACTATGGTTATAGGCTTATAGCAAACTTAAAAACTATCCAGGATTGTATCCCCTATATATTATTTGCGAAGTGATTTTGCCACATGTCTTCTCTACAATCAGTTTCACAAAAAAAATGATGACATGTCTACTAGAATTGATGACATGGCATATGATTAAATATGACATGGACAATTGCATTTAATGTTAATATATATTTTTGGAAAACTTTATAAAATATGGTAACAACTCATATATTAGATTTGATATCGATTTATATTTTTGGAAATATTTTTAAAATATGGTAATAATTCATAAATCATCATTAAAATAAATATATTCAAATATGGCATTATAAATTTCGAAAATATCATTTAATTATATATTTTAAAATTATACAATTTATTACAAACTTTTCAAAAATGTATACCTTTTTTGAAAATTATTAAAATTTAATCGTAAAATTATTAATTTCTTATATATTTACAAATTTAATAAATATTGTCTAATTTTAATTTTCCCCTATATATTATTAGCGAAGTGATTTTACCACATGTCTTCTCTACAATCAGTTTCACAAAAAAAATGATGACATGTCTACTAGAATTGATGACATAGCATATGATTAAATATGACATGGAAAATTGCATTTAATGTTAATATATATTTTTGGAAAACTTTATAAAATATGGTAACAACTCATATATTAGATTTGATATCGATTTAAATTTTTGGAAATATTTTTAAAATATGGTAATAATTCATAAATCATCATTAAAATAAATATATTCAAATATGGCATTATAAATTTCGAAAATATCATTTAATTATATATTTTAAAATTATACAATGTATTACAAACTTTTCAAAAATGTATACCTTTTTTGAAAATTATTAAAATTTAATCGTAAAATTATTAATTTCTTCTATATTTACAAATTTAATAAATATTGTCTAATTTTAATTTTTGATAATTATAAATTTTTCTACAAATTTATTTAATATATTTAATTAAAATAAATAGATAAAAAATCTATCTAAGATTATAATTTTAAATATATACATGCATATTCTTAAATATAATTTAAAATAAACCAAAAATAATTTTCTATTATTTTTATGTTTGATTAAAAAAATTGTATTAAAATAGTGATAAGAAAAAGAAAATTTATAATATTAATAAATTTTAATTTTAAACATAATTTGGAAAGCTTTATAAAATATGGTAACAACTCATATATTAGATTTGATGTCGATTTATATTTTTGGAAATATTTTCAAAATATGGTAATAACTCATAAATCATCATTAAAATGAATATATTCAAATATGGCATTATAAATTTCGAAAATATCATTTAATTATATATTTTAAAATTATACAATTTTATTACAAACTTTTCAAAAATGTATACCATTTTGAAAATTATTAAAATTTAATCGTAAAATTATTAATTTCTTATATATTTACAAATTTAATAAATATTGTCTAATTTAAATTTTTGATAATTATAAATTTTTCTACAAATTTATTTAATATATTTAATTAAAATAAATAGATAAAAAAATCTATCTAAGATTATAATTTTAAATATATACATGTATATTCATAAATATAATTTAAAATAAACAATAATTATTTTTCTATTATTTTTCTGTTAAGTAAAAAAAAATTGTATTAAAATAGTGATAAGAAAAAGAAAATTTATAATATTAATAAAATTTTAATTTCAAACATAATTTATATTGTATCTGTTAAAAAAATATTTTAAATCTTTTTACTGCACATGGTGCAGGAAAACACCTAGTCACCAGTGTAAGCGGTGTTTTGGTTAGCCACGCACAAACACATTACTTTCTCATGGTTTTTGTAGAGTAAAAGAGTGATGGTCATTTCAACTTTTTACTATTCTTTTACTTCGTAATTTTTCCACTCAATTTTTCTATTTTAAATTACTCTAAATTACGTTGTTCTTGCCAGTCACACTCAGTATATTCAATGAAGATCCGAGGGGAAACTAGAAATTAACGAAAAGCAGAAAAAAATTCAGGTATAAACCAATTTGTGGAGTTTAAAGTCATTATAAAGTAATTTCAGCTGAACCGAGAGTAATGTTGTCTGTGGCTGAAAATTTGTCGCAATATGTGAATTACAAGCCATTATATATATAGACAATGTATACTTAAGTTTGGATATTATACTTTTAAATATGGTTTATCCGTTGTCTTGGTCTTCTGGATCCGACATTAGTCAGTAGTATATGTATGAAACTGAACAGGTAATGCCAATTAGAAAAGGTAATTTTCTAGTCTAGTAAAACTGAGTTCATTTTTATGCAAAAAGTGAAATTCCATAAGATTAGACTGGTATAGTTAAAAAAACCACTTTGGGTAAGTGGTAACAGCAGCGCTTTCAGCTCGAAAACTAAAATGATTAAGCATTAACTCTCACTCCGAGCTATCTTCAAAGGTCAAGTGGTTAAAGTAAACAAACTGATGGATATTTTGTGATAAAATGCTATATTCAACGTCAATTATGCAATATAGGTTACTTTATTACAAGATTTCTATGCACATTCTATATCAAACAATTAAATAAGACTAGCACTTAGCACATGGACGTAGTGCACTTTCCATAGTGGAAAAACTCGTGATGGAAGTTGCTCGTGAGATGGTGGACCATCATTATTCGTACGTATTTTATTTAATGGCAACATGGAGAATAAACAATCAATATAATTAGTTTTAATTTTAGCGTGTGTAATTATCTACATCTTGACTAATCATTATCAAATTAATTTCTCGTTATCTTAATTGGCACTTTAGTTGTACTCTAAGATTTTGGCGATCTTTTGTTAGGTCAATGTTCGACGACAAACAAGACCATCTTCATGGTCATTTTCCTAATAATTTAAAGTCGAGTTTGATAATTTAGTGGGATACAGGCTCGTGTTCCCAATAATTATAAAACTAATACACATGAATGATTTAAAATTATAAAACCCGACATCTACTATAGTATATAGTTTTCTACTTTATTAATGGAAAAGAGAAAAGAGAAAACTCACAATACACATCAAACCATATGCTCCACGCACATTAGTCCATCTGTCCACTTACTCAAATATTCAATTAGTTAATCGAGTTCGTAGCAACGAACAACAACCAACGTTCAGTCAGATTAGTTGAAGACTTGAAGTCCATTGATGCTTTTATACATGAGATTAATTATACGTAAACTATGCGTACAAATTACAAGGCATTAATTCAAATTATATACAGAACTTGAATTTAAGAAAATGTTGATTTATAGACTATGATAATTAAAGAATTGTATGTGGTTATACTATATGATTAGCTAGTGAGATCCTTATCTATGATATTAGTGGGTCTTTAATTAGTTTGGCACGACATAGAACCATTCAAGACATCAAATTCGGTACCATTAATAAATACATGTACGTTACCATCGTATATTTCCACACCATAAGCCAAAGGACACGTTCAAACAAAAAAAATGGAATCAAGCCTCTAGTTGTTTGGTTTGGTACCAAATGTTTAATTCTGGTAATTTAATTTGGATTGTAGTCACGTGTAAATTACGTGGTCCAACGTCTCATTTTCAAGTTCCAGTAACACTTTCATGGTCTCTGGTTAGTTCACAAATCATGTCGATATCCAAAACTAAACTATATATTATACTGATAAAACAAATTTCATTCCTTTGCAAATTGCAGTATAAAAAGAAATAAAGTGTTGAATGACATTAACTTTCCATTACATAAATCCATTTACAATAAGTAAAATATATACATGTGACAGATTAACATTATCCTTTAAAATGAAAAAGAAAGAACACTTCTAAATGAAAATGTCTAAAAAATAATTAAGGTAATGAATTATCATTACTACTACTATTAGGATTATCTTGCTTGATTCTGGTATCGGATCCTGAACTTGAGCTACCGGGTAACCCGCCGCATGTTTTACATCTAGCAACCACCAAGATTTGACGACAGGAAGGACAAGAAGAGTGAGACCCGAGCCACGTGTCGATACACGACACGTGGAAGCCGTGACCGCACTGTGGCAACACCCTAAGCTCATCGCCGGCAGCGAACTCCGTGAGACAGATGGCGCACTCGGCGAGTTTCTCAGCCGGTGGAGAGTCCGGCGAGTAGGTGAGCTTCGGTAGAGACTTTAGGACTTTCTTTTTCAACCCTTTGTTAGCCGGAGGTTGATCGGAGTTAGCGGCGGATCTGCTGGCGATACGACGGAGCCAGAGGCAACGAGAGATGGAGAGTAAGCCGAGGACGCAGATCAGTGCACAGAGGAGAGCTGCTATGACGACTACGAGATCGGAATATAAGGCCGGAGGTGGTGTTGCCGGTGAAGGAGAGTTGGTTTCTTGGAGAAGACGGAAGAGAAGACGCGCCATTTGTAGAGACTAAAGAGAGGTTTGGTTTGAAAAGTTGAGAGGGGTTTAGGAGTGTGTGAGCGTTTCTTTGTGGAGGCAAAGAGGCAAGTTATTTATAATGAGAGTTCTGTCTTTTTGGTATTTGATTTTATTTAATAAAATCACTTTTGGTTATTTTTGTAAATTTATCGATTAAAGTTTAAATTGCTGCTTTTTGTCCAATGACTCAAAAGATTCATGGGAACTCTATGCTTTTCCCCCCAATGTTTTGTTGGATATTTCATCTATATGATGATGGCCTCTGATTACATTTAAGAAAAAAAAATACTCTCTATGTTTTATTACAAGTGTAATTTTAAAGTTGTTCACACAAATTAAGAAAACAATTAATTTTATATATTTCTTATATAAAAACACAATTAACTATACATTATACCACATTTTAACCAATAGAAAAATAAATTACATAATAAAATTAATAAATTTGAATTGAAAATCAAAAACGACATTTATTTTGTAATGAAAAAAAATTTCTACAATGATATTTAATCGGAGGAAGTATGATGTATTCATTTTCTTAAAATATATATTTTTGGAATTTCGAGACGATTGGATTATATATAAATAATAAACAACTGTACAGGATGAATCATGATTTTGGTGGATTGAAAAACTTCTGGAATCTGGTGTATGAAATTTATAGAAGATAGTGGTGCGTGTGGGGGGGAAGAAGCGTGTATGTGTGATGCGATGTCTTTGCTTGTACCACACTGAACACCAAATAACGAGATAGACTGAGATGGTGTCTGTATATCACTCATCCTAACATTCTTTCTGCTGGCAATGTTCTACACAAACTATTAATCGCCAGTTTGTCATCCACATCAATAACTAAAACACCATCCTCAGCTGTAATGACTTGACTAATTAGCTCCATTATCACATGTATATTGAATATGGACTTGAAATTAGTAAAAGTCGTCTAAAAAATTTATTGGAGTGCAAAAATGAACTTTACCGTTATAGCTATATGCTAAGTTCTGCTATTGTTATTTAATGTTGTTGTTAGAGCCTACATGTGGGAGAAATTAGATAATTTTAAGAAAAAAACAGTCTTGTTTAAGAAAGATGTCTTGCTAAAGAAAGACTACGTATGTACACAACGATTTGTTAGATGCACATTCTAATAGTGGATCCTACAATTTGCACTCAAAGGTTTTAATACTACTAGTATTCTTTTAATCAACTGTTATTTTTATATTGTACGTACTTTATGTATTTGCCTCAATATTGATGATACATACGTTACGAAGAACTTAATGACGTTTGACCTAGTGGAGAAATGTTATTCTCTACGTACAATAATGACCTTTGAAATCACCAAAAGAACATTTTCTTTTTAATTAGTGGCTGCTAGCCAGCTTAGAAACCACAAACCTGATCGTTTGTTATATAACCTATATTAAAATGTTACCAGAGATAGATGATTTACCTTTTCTTTTTGGATAAAAGATGATTTACGTTTATGGTCGTTCTACTGAGAATTATATAAAACCATTGATATCGTGTCTAAAAATGTTCAAATTGTATCGTCTATAAAAGACCTTAATAATCCATTTCCAAATGATCTCAATTAACAAGGTTGTAAACTTGTAATAAACTACGAAGACGAATTTTAATGTAAGCTAACATGGCATTTGGAATAAAGACTAATCCACTAAGAAAAACTTTCTAAAATAATTAGATAAGATCAATCATAAATCTTCATCCTCCAAAATAAATATGAACGTTGACCTATATATGGGAAAAGAAATGTAATTTCTATTTATAGTCCCAATTACCACACTATTACCTCAATGAACAATAAAACCGAGGAAAGAAATCAATCTTTCTCTTTGCCTTTTTGATACTGTACCACTTCTAACTCTTATCTGTATCTTATACACTAAGAAAAGATAATTTGATCTGATCTGTTGATCAGAGAAACATGTAATGTACCGCCGACCATAATCTCATACTTACCTGGAACAAAAAGGATAATGACTGAAAAAATCAGGTTTATGCGTCAAAGAAAAAAACTTATGTCTACTGTTTTACTATATCTATTATTTTCAAACAAAATAATTTTAAATCCATCAAACAAATTAGCTCAAGTAGAAATCTAGATAAATTTAAAATTATTTATATGAAAATTTAAGGATATATTAAAAACAGTGGACAATTTTTTTTTCTTTTCAAGTCTTAACAATAGTTTAGGAGGATTGCAAATTTTGAAACACTCCTAGCCATGAGATTAATGCCACGTACACCGAACAAACAACTGAGCTGACTAAAAACAACGATGTTAGCATTTCACAGAACTATAATCCTAACGAAAGTATTCATAAGGCAAATATTGACAAAAAATGTTCCTATGTAAAGTAAATACTAATCCAGTTATAGGTTTTAAGTGGAGAACAGACACCTAATCGGCCTAATGTGTAAAGAAAGAAATGAAAGTTTCTGTGGAACTTTTTTTGTTTTCTGCTGGTCACCACACCATATAAATGATACTTTGCGTGAAAGATGATAATAACAACTAACTGAAAAACATTTCAAAAGGCTCTAAAAGATTTGGCGATGAGGGACGCTTGTCTATTTTTTAATCACAATCTTTTAATTTGGCTGTTTTTTATTTATTCTGAACCATCATATATAATATTGTTCCAAAAAAAAAAATCATATATTTTGTTTTTACTTTTATTCTTATTTTAATTGAGAGATAGAATATGAACACCCCAAATATCCGATTAGTAATCGAAATTTTAATACAGCAACAGCAGAATAGAAATCGTTTGCTAAGATGGAAAACATATTGTACAGTTTACAAGATAACGATTTTGTTATTACTGAGCGGCCGTCTCAAAACTTTAGGCGACAAGAAAACATGGATTAAAGTTTTTTTTTTGGGTAAACACGTATTGAAAACGTAGATGCGTCTTATTATCAACGATCTTGTTAAAGATTGCTACTAATGTACTGTATCGCTGCATACGAAGTAAACCGATTAAACGATTTACGAGAAATTTAGAGAAAATGGAAAAGAGAAATAACACATGAAACAATGTGGAGAGGAGCAAACGTGTGAAATTTTGATTTGCCAAATAGAGATATATGACAAAACTGATTTATTATCTTCTAAAAAACCTTTTTATTAGTTTTGTTGATGCTTTCTCTTCTAGTGCACTCTCCACTTTCTGATTTCACACAGCCCATTTTTGCTTTCCATCACATGCTCCGCCCTTTCATCAGATTATTATTAGATTTTTTTCTACACTTCCTGAAATCATTTGAACTCGTTTCTTTACCAAATTTACTTAAACTCATTACATATATGTTGTTCAAAAATCACGTTTTAGATGAATTTTAAAAAGAAAGAGTTATATAAAAATGTAAAGCGCTCATGAAAGTAAGTCTATAAATATGCATAATCCTTATTAAAAAACCGCAGTACAGTTTTCATCTTATCATAATCTTGCAAAATACATTTAGTTTTGCAAATATATAATGCATCTTGATTCTGAACAAATTTTAGTTTTAAGAACATTAGTGAAACCGTACGAAAGTATCTCAACAATAAAAAGTATGATAGTTTCTCTATATATATTGTAATGTTGTTCTTGGTCAATGAAGTTTTACAGTGTTCAAAAAAAAAAGCTTCTCTATTTGTGAGTGATTCTTTTAATATTTGGCGACTTTAATGGTTTATATTTTGTAGCACTAGCATAAAGAAGCACGCATATTTTTTATTTTAACATGATAAGACAGGTATTGGACTTTTCAAACAATCTATGAATTCATGGCAGATTATAGAAAAGTATTAGATAAGTGTATGTTATAAACAGTTTGTACCAGTCGATGTAGTTTTAGTAGGTTAGCAATATCAATTTAATCAGTTATCTAACGTTTTATTTACTAGTTCGTGTCAGTTTGGGTAATAGCTCATATTATTAGTAGTATACAACGTTTGGATATATGTGTATTGACGAGGATATTATTTAAAACGAATTAATATTATTTAAAGCACATTTTAATATTTTTATCAAGCCCTTTCTCGGACCTTATGGTCCAATCATTTGTATATTGTCCATGATCGTATATATTTATATATTTAAGATTTTGATTATGCGGAAAGGTTTGATATTATATAGATGTAGGGAAACCTAAAACTAAAATAATGGATTAAAGAAAATACATCGAACGTGATCAAATTAACTTCATTTCACCCATGAGATTCTCTTTACTAGTGGCTTTATATACTTCACTGCATAAAAGCCGACATAACATTCTTCCAATCGAAGATGTGGCCAGCCTTGTGATTTAGCATTTCACCAAATAGAATATTTCATTCATTTCTTTATATGTATATACTACATAGAAAGTTTTAATAATGCAACTTTACTATATCTATTACTTCATCATTTTATTCATATATATATATATATATATATATATATATATATGGATGCTGTTCATATATAGTTTTAATCTGGATAATATCAGGTGATAGGGAACAAGTATTATCTGATATGCTGGATATATCAACCTTTCCTCTATGTATAATTATTTGACATTTAGTTTACAACATGCTAAAAAGGCTTATCACCTGACAACATGTACATACAAAGATGATAAAACACACATGAAAAAAAAAGATAATTGCAATTACTTTCCAAAAATAACTTTACAGGTTGGGGAATTAAAAGTATGAAACAAATATATTGGATAAAACTTGTCACATCTAGTGAAATTTTCGTTTATTAACAACAAATTGAAGTTGTTTAACAAACAAACAACGAAAAGGAACCTCGTCACTTAAGGCTTTACAATACGGCCGCCTCCTAATAAAACATTATTGAGATAAAGAGTTAAGTATGCATAGAGATCACGTGGGGTTTTTAGTTGAAGCCACTAACAAATCTAAACGTCGAAGTCTCTTTTTCTTTTACTGTTTGAAAACGATCTTTGATCCTTTTTCTCTTTATGAGTGATGATGATCAGTAAGCAAATCTTTAGTATACCCCATCTTTGGATTCTCAAGATCCACACTTTGTGAGAACTTTTTAACTCATGTGTTTGGTACTGATGTTGATGTTCCGAACAGCACCAGGGCACAAATCAGATTAACGACTAAGATACAGACGGTTCTCTAATGATCTCGGTTTGGAATTGGTAGATGAGCGCATGATATGATTTCGGTTCATTGATTGCAAACCAAAGACACTTTATTCGGTCTAGTTTGCTCTGTTTCAGCATGTTTACCGGTTAAGTTTGGTATATTACTCGGCTCAGGCTTAATCCATATTTGAGGAGTGTTTAAGTCCACACTTAAAGTCAAACCTAGTAGATCCGATACAAAAGAATGGGTATACCTCAGATAAGTCTCCATCTTCCTCCAAAAAGATTTTCTCGAGAAAATCTTCGAGAAAATTCACTACTAAAATATGTTTTGTTGACCTTTGCACCAAGGTTAGCCAATCAATCACTGCTACATGTACCGAAATATTACTAAGCACATATCAGTGGGCCTCAATATGGGCTTAGGTCGCGAAATACATACAAACGAGCTCACACATGCGAAATTTTTATGTAGAAGAAAAGGGGGCACACCACCTGATTAAATCGGTTTCCACATGATCTCAACGCTAAGCTTGTTTCAATAAAATCACCAGTCTCTAAGACTCTAACCTTCAGGCAGGTTCATCGCAGCAGCAACTGGATTTGGCATTACAGCTGTAACATATTATTTAGTGAATTTAGAAAGGTTTTGAGTTTTTAAACCTTTCTTTTAAACAAGATCTCACATCCTTTTTATCTGATTTTGTGTATGTTTTTGTGTTACGTAAGTTAATTATTCTTCTGAAATTTAGTTGTCCAGCTTGTGCTAAACGCATGAGTCGAAGACTCGACGCGACCTATGTCTCTGTTTCTATTTTTGTAATTGTTTTTTTTGACAGCTTTGTAATTGTTAGTGTAGTGAGATAACCATGTCAAATAAGTATTTGTGCTTTGTAATTTCATGCTTCTAAATAAATGTTATTTTACTAATTTTTTCTTGTTTCAAAATAAATGTTATTTGCCATTTTTAATCTCTTTTTTACTTTTTAATCTAACCAATAGATGTTTTTAAAAATCATTTTTATTTAAATAATTGTACATTAAATAAAGATATACTAATATATTTGACTAATTTTTTAATATACATAAAATATGTCCAGGTAACATTTATATCGAAACGGAGGGGATATCTTGTATTTGTGTGTTTATAGTTTATATTGTAACATTTGTTTGACTTCCATTGACTTTGGTTGTTTTTATAACTGTAACTGCTTTAATTGTCAAAGAATCTCTTTTGGCTTCTTGCTTATTAAAAAATTAAGTATAACCCATAAAAAACTTCAATGCAAGTAAATGACAAGATCAACGACTTTTTTCATTCAACTATTTATTTTTCATATATGTAAAATAACTTATATTTAAAAAATACTTTTCAAAATATATATATTATGAAACATATATAATTTTTGATAATGAAACCATGTACGCTCTTATAATGTTTTAGTTATTAAAGCTAACGTTGTAATTCAGTAGATAAATCTAAGAAGTATATGTACATTTTTTTTTTTTTGGTCAAAGAAGTATATGTACATTTATGTGTAAAGATGTGGTAGTTATGATATTTGAGACAAATGTATTCCAAATTTAATTTTTAAATTTTTTTTCTCTCCAGCTATTCATTTTTAAAACACGGTATCACCAATCTGCAATATATATCTCTGATTCGAAACATCGATTTCAAATTGAATGTTAGAATGTGACATACATATAGTCAACTGTTAAAATTATTTAAGTTTTTCCTCACAAGAAAATAAATTAAAGGAAGTAAATGCAAGTAGGTGACGAGTGAAATTACGCGGACGTTCTAATATTTTTTGTCAACTTGATCTCACTGCTTTACCCGATCTACACACTAATTTCACACTATTTGCATATTCCAGTTTATGATTTAAGACGAATAAAATAATATCTGCCAACGTTTTAAACGTGAGCTCGTTAAAAGATAATCTTAGTGAAACAAAAATTAAATAAAAATCAAATCAGAATCCTCTCATTCATCGGTCGTAATGTATTTTTACTATCTTATGCATATTTAAAGCTTTATTTTGAACCGCGTTTGTCATTTCTAAGTTTCTAACTATGAAATTGTCAAGTATCATGCTCGTTGTTCCACATGAATAGTTGGTAAAAAAAAAGAGCCGAAGATATTAAAAAAAAAAAAATGATCCGAAGATATAAGGTTTTGACCCTCGTGTTTCATTTTCCTCACAAGATCCCGTATATGTATACATGTGCACTAGGACCCGCCATTGCTAGACTTCTTCTTGTTTGACTTCTTCCCACTGATATTTTTCTAGGGTTCATTATAGTCATGAAACACTCGCTCGCTATATGACAAATTGACAAGGAAGCTTTTATTTTTCCTTGCATTATTTCGTTGTTTTGTTTTCACACGTATAAACCCAATATTTTTAATAAATAAATATATAACCATTTACTAATATCTTAAATTTGTTTGCTTTTATAACCACTCAATATCTGAATTTCTGTGTATTGTACTCCGATTGTTACGTCATTAAAGTGACGTATATGATCGGCATAGTCCATGTTAATGATAACTTTGTATGCGAACAAGTTATAATAAATTAGGTACCGATACAATCAGAGTTAATTAAGTAAATTATTATGATTGTATTTGTACTAAGAAGTTTAGCGACGTGTTGTTTTTCCTAAGTAACCTATGGTACTAAGAAAAGCAAGCAATCGTGTTTGTTTAATCTTTCTAAACTTTATGTAATTAATTACTTTAGTCGAATGCAGCCTAACTCATTATACGCATAAATTAACAACATTATCTTGCCCATAGAAAAAGGAAAAGAAATATATAGGTTTCGACTTTTCTTGCTGCGACTGTTTCCCGATCTGCGACCCAACCAGCTACCACTAATTGTAACTTATAGTCATATTTTGTCATAACTCACTTCTGTTCCATTCTTTGAACCCGACCTTTACAATACAGAAGACTCAATCGGCCACGCAAAGGAGATAAAGGAAGTTCCATAAACTCAAAAGAAAAACAGCAAACTTTATTATTGTTCATGCGTATTAAAAGCATGGTTTCGTTAACTTTACCATTTATAAAATTGTAATATTTACTAAATGTTATGTTTGCATGATTTGGAAAAATGATTTTAGTATGTACAGCTAGTGTGGTAAAAGTATATTAAAAAGCAAAACATGATTAACCTGTTGAAACTTAAAACTATCTCTTATAATTATCTTATCACAATTTTTATTCAGTTCGTTTTACTAATAGTTATTCAATTACTACCATTATTTTATACATAAGTAAGATCTATTATAACATTTTTTGGTTAACCAATAGTTTCCAGGTCGTAGACCGATATATACCTTTCGGCAGTGGACCTAATAATTCTAAAGAAAAGAAATGAGAAAACGTAACAAATATTTTTATTTTGTGTGCATCCAACAAGTATGAAACACCATAAATTAACGTTGAAAAATACTGGAAATAAAAAAATATCAGCCAATCAATGGTCTGGTAGTTTATATAACAACTAAGAAAACAAATAAATAGAAGCCTTTTTATCGAAAATATATAATTCCCAAAAGAGTTTTGCTTGGTCTCTTTCCTCTCTGTTTCTCACTTCCTTCCTCCATCTTTCAATTAAAATCCTCAGAAAAGAAAGGAAGAAATTAAAGGGGACACTTGGAGCAAAGACTATCTTTAATCTTATGTAATCATAAAGAAGATAACCCAAAAAAAAATAGCAAAGACAAAACATTTTTTTGTGTGATGGGGAACTTCTGTTCTGGTGGATCTTCCAGTGTTCGACACCAACAGAGTCCTGCCTCCACCAAGCCCCTCTCAGGTTCATACATACACACTTCTCTGTTTTTATTTTCCAAGTTTTTGAGTTCTTGAATTAAGAAGAACAGAGAAGGGTTTCAACTTTGAAAATGTCAACGGTTTTGCTCTTTTTTTTTTGAACTAATTCTATTTTTTGCTCTTTTTTTTTACATTATTTTCCAGTTTCTTTAGTAAAGTTTCATTCTAACAAGATCATCTATTGATCCAACAGTGATGAGACATGTTCAAAGTCCAGTGAAAACAAAGCTTCCGCCGCCTTTGGTGGCAAAGTCACCGGCTAGAGCGGCGGCGGAAACAGAAAGGACACCAAGATCCACCGATGACACACCTCCGCAGGAGATGCCGAGACCCGTCGACGGTCCACCGTCAAAGCCGGTGGAGAAGTTAGGCATGCCAAAGAAGGCAGTGCCGCCGAGCGGGAAGATAGTGACGCCGAATCTAAAGATGTTTTTACTGGAGAATCTTAGGACGGCGACAAAGAATTTCCGACCGGAGTCTATGATCGGAGAAGGAGGGTTCGGACAGGTTTTTAAAGGATGGCTTGATGAGAAGACGTTAGCTCCGTCGAAGCCTGGTGTCGGAATACCAGTAGCTGTTAAGAAATCAAACCCTGATAGTGCTCAAGGATTACATGAATGGCAGGCAAGTAACTTCAGTTATTCTTTCCTTTTTCGTTTTCGTTTTGCATTAAAATCATTAAAGTTTCTACTTTAGGGAATAATAGATTGGAAATGTCATTTCTGCTTTTGTATTGGAGAAAATTAGGGACATTTTCATTCTGGGATGGATACTATTAGTGAACAAAATAACAAAAATTAGTAGACTGATCGTTTTAAGTAATGATTGTTAAAGTATTTTTTATTTATTTGATGCTATTAAATTAAGCACAAAAATTGATAAAACATTTAATATTTCTTTAATAAACGAAAATAGTATTAATTATTTTCTTAAATATCTTAATTAATAACAAAAAATGCATGATATACTTAGTCATAATTCATATAATATATAGAGTTAACAAATTTTATTTAATATAAAAAGAAAACCTAATTTGAAATAAAAATGTTTTCGATAACTATAAGTAAATATTAAATAAGACATAAGAGGAAGCACAAATACATGGGTTAATTAGATTATAACTCTTGAAACATCTTAGCTTGCTTATTGTCTCTTTGTTGCTTACTCTAAATGACAGTTTTTGAAAATACTTATGATTTTGTACTAGTAGTGCTGATTAGTCGAATAAATCATATACTATAAATTTGGCACTACTACTAATTTAAGGAGTTTTTCTTTTACAACGAACCAATTTAAGGGTTTAGTTGTCTCTTGTCACTAAGAAAAAGTTAATGACAAAAGTATATGGTATTAAATAATTCAGCGGCGTGTTACAAATTATTGTATTTGAAAATTATATTTTAATCATTTATAAATGAATTTAGTTGTCCCCGTCTCATTTATATCATCTAAAAAGAAGAAGTCAATACACCATTATGCCAAAAAGAAGAAGAAGCGTTCAATGGATTATCACATAACTGTACTAGTCAATCAAGAAAATATACGTATATAATAGTCGATGATATTCACATAAATATTTCGATATAATTCAATGACAATTTTAGTCAAAGAAAAAAGATACACACATAAATATTTAATGATATCGTTGGATGTTTTCTTCTGTTGATGCATGTAAATTATTTTCTTCGTTATGTCTCCAGCAAGAAATTTCCGTCACAGCTACAGTATCGAATAAAAAGTGTCAACATATACGACCTTGTTTATATTTTTATATTTATAGATATAATATGTATAATATTGACTTGTGAAAAAATGAAACAAGTAATCTTGTTTATCAACAAATAAATTGTAAATCTTGACCTGGTTTTCGACAAGATATGATGATAAATTGCTTTGACCATTGACTTTTCAAATATGTTTGAGACATGCTGCACTCCTTAATAACTTCAAACCTACAAAATCGAATAAATAAAAAAAATAAATAAAGAAGTTTTATGTAATGTAAATTGCAGTGTGAAGTGAAATTCTTAGGGAAGTTTCATCATCCAAATCTTGTCAAGCTCTTGGGCTATTGCTGGGAAGAGAATCAGTTCCTCTTGGTGTACGAGTATTTGCCAAAAGGAAGCCTTGAAAATCACCTCTTCTCAAGTACGATTTCACTTAACCATCAATTACCTTATTTTATACATATTTTTCTTTTCTACAACCTTATATATATATTTCTTTATATCATTAATGTGCATGTAAATGTGAATGCAGACCGAGAGGCGTTGACATGGGATACACGTTTGAAAATAGCCATCGAAGCAGCTCAAGGACTTAACTTCTTGCATAACTCCGAGAAGAGTGTTATTTACAGAGACTTTAAGGCTTCCAACATTCTTCTTGATTCCGTACGGTTCCGTTTCTTTCTCATCTCGATCTCCCACACGTTTAATGCATGCATGTTTCTTCTAAACTTGTCCTTATGTTTTCTTGTCGCCGTTTCTTTCAGAACTTCCACGCCAAGCTTTCTGACTTCGGTCTAGCCAAACTTGGTCCGATTAACGGATTTTCTCACGTGACCACACGTGTCATGGGCACGCAAGGCTATGCCGCTCCCGAGTACATGGCTACAGGTAATTAATAAAAACGTGCAATAATATTGTCTGAATTGAAAAACATGTTTTTAAAAATGGTTTCTTTCATGTTATAGGTCATTTATACGTACGGAGTGATGTTTACGGATTTGGAGTTGTCCTCTTAGAGATATTAACCGGTTTAAGAGCACTCGACCCAAACCGGCCACCTATGCAACTGAATCTCGTGGAATGGGCTAAACCGCGTTTGACCGATAAAAAGAAAATCAAGAAAATGATGGACCCACGGCTCGAGCACAACTATCCACTTTCGGCGGTGATTAGAACCGCCGCGCTAATTCTACGGTGTCTGGAGGAAGACCCGAAGAACCGACCGCCCATGGACGAAGTACTCAGTGAGTTAGAGATCGTGAGGACTATGAGAGACGAACCAAAAGAAGAGAAGCGTAAACGAAGCAGTGGTGGTCCAGATAATAACCGGGTTAATCGATATGGTTCACCGCAAGTCCGAAGAGCCGGTCGAACCAGATAGTAAAATGTCCCTTTGCCTTTGGATCAGTCATATTATGATGTAGACAGTACTATATAGTCTTTAAAGAAACATACGTAAAACCTTTTATTTTTATAAAATTATATTTGATATCTTTGTAATCGTGAAACTAGTTTTAAAACTTATGAAAATGCTTAGACAACAGATACTATATATAGTATGTAATATTTTTGTCTCATCTTGTCAGAAAAGACATCCAGATAGTAAAATACTAAAATGTCTTGGACATCTACTTACGTAGCGATAATGACAATATATCAGAAGAGATTAAGCAGCATATAGTAAAAGAAATAAAAGATAAACCAATCTGCTGATTACATGTTTTACTTTGTTCTCAGGGAAAAAGTTACACAAGTTTCAAAACTACAATGTATCAAAAATGAGCAACAAACAAAAATCACGTCAACAGCAGGGTTCGAACCTGCGCGGGCGAAGCCCAACAGATTTCAAGTCTGTCTCCTTAACCACTCGGACATATTGACGGTTGTTATAATTATCCCAATCATATATTTATATTCAATAATTCCGGTTTAGAAACTTGGTTACTTTTGAGTGGTACAGAGGAATCAAAGTCCACTCTCTCTTACTCTTGATTTCTTGGAGCCATGTCCGAGACAGCGGGCTTTGGTTCCTCTGTACCACTCAAACTTTATATACACATGATGTCTCAGAGCCGTTACACAAAAGTGCTCTGTCTCAGAACGTCTATTGTCCATGTGCATTGATGAGATTAGACCAGCCTTTCAAAGAGCATGAAAGAGAGATAACTATGGTCGATATAACTGATCAAGACCATGTTCTGATGCATATTTGTAGCCTGAATGTTGTGGAACTCCGTGAGGATCACGTTTTAAAACACTACCGAGATCGTGTTGTGAAATTGCGCTGCTAATCCAACCTGTAATGAGAAAAAAACAATCATAAGAGACCTTCGTTACAAGTTCAAGTAAATGTTACTGAGTAGATTGCAACATGGAATGATTATTGGTAAAATACACGTACTGATTGTTGATATCCCTCCCCAACAGTTGTAGACTGAATCACATGATGAACAAGGAAGAAACGATCAACGGAAATGAACACATCCGATGGTATTAACTTTAATATTACATTGCTTTAAAGCTTCCCTCCAATATAGTATTGATGAAATTTGTTCTTTACGAAATTACATAGAGCTTTAAAGCGTCTTCGTACGTTACTTAAATATAATATACGTATATTTTACCTAAGGAGATGTTTTTTTTTCTGATGAAATTCATCTATGTGTATTCAACTTATAGACTAACTACCAAGTATTTCAAGTTTACATTGCATATGCTGGTGAAAGTGACAGATACAAAGTTGCTCGGAAATGGTCTGAGCAGTTGGTAGAAAAGGTGACATTTGGGGATACAAATTAAACACAACAAAAGCTTATCATGTCTTAAATTAGAAACAAGTTGGACAAGGCGTTAAATAAACTTGGTAGAAACGATCCTTGATTACTCTCAGCAACTCTCTCACATCACACGACGAAACACTTGGCTTCAAGGGATAAATGCTCAGGCCTCCCATCCCTTGTTCTCCTGATGATACCATTGCAGACAGCACCGCACCTTGTTTTGAAGCTGACGTAGAAGACTGCATTATACAGCTTCATAACCTCTTTCATCGACTCGACAACTTCTTTGGTTTGAACAATGATCTTTCGCAGCTCAAATGGCTTTCCATACTCAAACTTGTACTGCACCACAACACAAAACCAAGGAGAGATCCATTATAACCTTATATTATACAGTTTTAAGACTTTATATATTTTTTAAAACTCACCGGGTCCGTGTGCTCCTTGGTGTACCAGGCTAGTTCAGCATAAAGATAAAGCCATTCTTTGGCTTGTTTCACCTCTGATTCTTTCATCTGAGAATTAAGTAATAATCAATGTAAGCAAAAGAAAAAAATGGAGAAGAAGGTGGGAAATTAAAGAGCAAAAGGGTGTGAGGAGGCTGGTTCATGACCTCGTAGTAGTGCAGCTTATTGTCACCAGGCAACCAATCTGGCATGTTGCCTTTGAATAGTTCATCCACGGAAAGTGTGTCAAATCCACTTTCTTCCTTTTCCTCCTCCTCCTCTGTGGTAACAAACAAAAATAGAGGAATTTTTAAATAAAGAAAAGAAAATAAAAGAGTACCCATTTTCGCATTCACTTTTACCTGGAGGTGGGGGCAAGGTTCTGCAGCGGGATGTAATAACATGGAAGCAGTCTTTCTTCCCAATGGCATACCAAACTTTTGTTTCAAACTTGCGTGAGCAATTTCTTACTAGATCAAATGCCTGTAATGTCAACACTCCGGTGTGCTCAGCTACTTCAGGCACACTCCCACCCAAACGTTTAAAGTAAGTTCCCTACAAAACCAAAACAAAAACAAAACCGAAATTAGTATATATTAGTATAAGATAACTCTTATCTATAACGTTGTATTTATCTAGGATAATCTCTACATATTAGTAGTCATTATCTTGTCTAGACTTGGCCTTATCTCTAGACTACGTTGTCGTATATATATTGAGAACATGTGACATGAATAAGATCATCCTTTGACAATACTTCTATAAGAGATGAGGAAAAACATAGCTTCTATAATATATGTGTGTGTGTAGTAGGCAAGAAGCAGTAACAAACTTTACATTTTCGAGATTGTAGCAATGAATTCCGATTTTAGCGCAGAGCAGTGGCTCCGCATGCAAAGCATCCTTAAGTTGCTCGTAGGGTAAGAACAAGACACGACCGGGAGGACCAGGAGTATAAGTGACTTGACAAGGAGCGCCGAAGTGATGATAAATGGAGTAGTCTGGTGGAGAGTTCGCATTAAATGATGGTGATGTCATTGAATCCAGTGGTAAAAATGATGGTGATGTCATTTGAATCTCCTGAAGGTGAAAGTTTTCGATATCCTGAAGGTGTAATGGTTCGATCTCCTGAAGGTGCAAGTTTTCAAGCTCTGTTTCGGCCTCCTTAATGGGAAGTAGTTCTTCTTGGGGAGGAGGAGGCTCACAAGCTGTAAAAGTCAACACATCTTTACTACAAATTTACTTGAAAGAATATATATAATATTATCTCAAGGTTTTTATGCAAAATACCTTGAGCATAATTTGATGATCCATACTCTTTGTACGGCTTTATAATGAAGTCAAAGGGTGATGTATATCCATTAAACGGCTGGTACCGTGGTAGAACAACCTCGAGTTCCTTCAAATAATATATAATATCCACCGATTTTTTTTTTGCAAAATACTGAAAGAGAGAAAATGACAACTAAAGAACAATCCAATTTTACCTTATCACTCAAGGTGTCACTGCCTTCTTCCTTCATCACCACGTCAGACATTCTCCAATTGAATCAAATTCAACCCTAATTTTCGAGCAAGGAATCTATCAAACTAATGCACAAAGATTGATTCTGACTAAATAAATACTTATGCTAAATCATGAAAGCAGACCAGAGCAGATTCGATTAAAAATACAATATTCAGATGCAGGAGGAAAGGTAAATGAACGAGCGAATGCCAAACGAATAAAACGTTATACCTTTTCTCTCAGTTTTATAAACCCTTACTAACCGACATAGTTTTTTTGGTTTCTTTAAATTTTAAAAGCCCAATAGTTACAATCCAAAACAATTAACAAATCATCATATTAATATTAGTATTTTATCACTTTCAAAATTAACATGACCTACGATTGGTTAGATCATATGCATCGCACACACCTTATAGTGGAGTGCTTAAGTTTTTATTTTTTTCTTTTAATTTTTTTTTCCTGACTTAAAAAAAAAAAAAATTTAATAAACGAACCAATCGTGGGCCGCCACGTGTCAGTGGGGCCCACGAAAAGTTCAAGCACTCTTCCCAACTCGACGCTTATACGGGAGTTAGAAGCGCTGGGTTTTTGTATTCAGTGGGATCCACCCCAGTTTTTTATTATAATTTTGCTACGCACTTTTTGTTAAGCATCTGCGATGCATATGCTCTTAGAATTTTAATTTTAATTTTTCAGACAAAAAAGAAAAAAGAAAAAAACTCCTAATATGGGGTTGTTGTGAGATAAAAATGATCTTAGTTGAACTATGACAAATGACATTGTTTTCAAAGTAATATTAAAGGCTTATTTGCCAAATAACCAAAAAGGAATACTCAGACTTTAAGTGAGAAGTTAAAGAGAAATAGGAAGAGAAATAAGAGGAGAGTATGTTTTTGGTTAGATAGTGTATTTGTGTTTTTTATGCATTGTTAATGACATTGTTGTTGTTGTTGCCCATTATGCGTTTAAAAAAATTGGTCTATCGTTTCAGGAGCTTGTGCACAGAGTAACAAATAAGTCTGGAGATGCATGCGTTTGCACTCCCGTAAAGCATAAAGAAAAGGAGGAAGAGGTATGTTGTCTGTTGACATGTCAAGTGAAGGTGCTTGAGATATCAGATTACAGAGCTTCTTCTCAAGAGGTGAAGCAGATGAGACATTTCTTTGGCAAGTTAAAATGCCTTGAATCTTTGAAAGTCAGTGTTGATGGAGACAGTACAACAATGACAATTAATAGTGAGGTCTTGAGAGATAATCTGCTGACTCTACAAAGAATTTCATCAAAGTGCAACATCCAATTCCGTTGATGTTTCTTTCTTTACTTTTTTTCTGCTTCGGACGGTCGAAAGGAACATGATCCTTGGTATCCTTGGTAAGCAGGACTACCTTTCTCTCTTTTTTGTATGTGTATCAAAACATTTTTCATGCTTTTGTTTAGTGGAACTATGAACTCATTTTGGTTCAAGAGCATTTACGAGTTACTTTGTTATATGAATTTCCAAGATAGAAGGAAGAAAGATGAAGACGTTTATAGTAGTTGTGTTGGATTCATAAATTCTTAAGAAACTTGCTAGATAGAAGACAAAACATTCAACAGAAATCAACGTAATTACTTGCTAGACAGAAGACAAACATAAAGTTAAAAAGGTTTAGACAACATTACGGAATCTCCAACAAACATTAGAAACAAGCAAGCTTGATTGGAAAAGTTTTAAATAGAAGGAAGGAAGGAACGACATACGTTACTCTCATAATTAATCTGAGAGACTCTTCACATCACATGAAGCACTTGGCTTCAAGAGATAGATGCTCTGGAGTCCCATCCCTTGTCCTCCTGATGATACCTTTGCAGACATGACCGCGCCTTGTTTTAAAGGTTATGAAGAAGACTGCATTATCCAACATGTTGACATTTTCGACAACTCCTCTTGTTTGCACAACAACCTTTCCTAGCTCCAATGGCTTTAAATACTCAAACAAGATCTGCAACACAACACCAAGAAGAGATTTCATTATAAACTATTATTATACACAAATTACCAAAATCTTTTCTTTTTTGGTTGTTTTTTATGGCACTCACCGAGTCCGTGTGCTTCTTGGTGTAGAAGGCTAGTTCAGCGTAAAGATGAAGCCAATCTTTGGCTTGTTCCACCTCAGATTCTTTCATCTGAGAATAAGTAATAAGCAATGTCAGCAAAGAAAAGGAGAAGAAGCTGGTGTGAAGGAGGGAGCTAGGGGCTGATGACCTCGTAGTAGTGCAGCTTACTGTCATCAGGTAACCAATCTGGCATGTTGCCTTTGAAGAGTTCATCCACGGAAAGTGTGTCAAATTCACATTGGATCCCTTCTTCCCCTATGGTAGAAATGACTCAACAAAGTATAGTTATATATATATATATAGAACAAAATAAAGTATTTTTGTTAAGTATATTTTTATATAACAAAAAATAATAATAATAATATTTTGAGTGCATTTGCGATTTTACCCGGAGGAGGTAAGGGAAAGGGCTTGCAGCGGGTTGTGGTAACATGGAAGCAATCTTTATTCTCATCAGTGGCAAACCGAACTTTTGTCTCAAACATGCAAGAGGTGAAATTGCGTAGTAGTGGATCCCATGCCTCTAAAGTGTATAGATCGGTGTGCTCAGCAACTTGAGGCCGACCCAAACGTTCAAAGTGTGTCCCCTACAAACTCAAAAGCATCAATGTTACATAACATAGGGTACGGCAAGAAGAAAAAGCAAGTAACAAACAAAAAAAAGAGAGAGAGAGATACGTTTTCGAGATTGTAGCAATGAAGCCCGATTTTAGCGCATAGGACTGGCTGGGCGTGCATAGCATCCTCCGACTGAGAGTAATTCAAACACAAACACAAGTGACCGCCAGGGGGAGGACGCATAAAAGGTACTTGATGACAATTGATATCGACCGGAGGACTGAATCTGATGTTGCGACGAAATTCAACCATCTCAGGTGGTATGAAGTCAAACATATTGAATTCATACACTTCTCCAGGAGGTCCCAACTCGTCGTCCAGGTCCATAGCAGCAAATAAGTCCTTATAGACGCGCTCCAGCTCAAAAGGATCGTCCGATGGTGGTGGAGTATGCTTGTATGGCGGCTGTAGAAAAGTACCGAGTTCCTTCAAACAACAATATATATATATCCACCACCAGATATAATGCAAATTTAAACACAAAATAGATAATCACAAACTAGAAATACAAAATAGATTGAGTTATTTATAAGAACTTTAGTTTGACCCAAAAAAAAAAAACACAAAATAGATAATCATAAACTAGAAATACAAGTAAAATATTACCTTAACGTTCAATGTGTCATCACTGTCAATATAATTTGGTGATGTTAATTCATTTACCGGCTGGTCCCGTGGTAAAACAGCAGCATCGAGTTCCTTCAAGAATTTTATCACCGACGTAATGCAAAATATCTAAAGAGAGGGGAGGGCAAGTAAATAATTCAATTACCTTAACACTCAACGTGTTACTGTCTTCTTCCTTCATCACCATGTCGGACATTCTCACCCAAAAACCCTATTATAGAGACGTGAAGAGCAGTTAACGAACAACATCTATGAAAAGTGCGTTTTCTCAAATCAACGTGGTTTTTACTAAGTAAGACTTGTGTTGTATGAATCCTGGAAGCAGAAAGACAAATTGGGAAGAGCAGATTCGATGAAACAAGAGACTAGATGAAAAAATATTTCATCCAGGAACGAAAGAAACGTACCTTTTTCTCTGTATTTTGTAATCTTTGATAACAATGTTTCTTGCCCTTACTCTGTGTAATACAATGCGTATAAATACAAGAGACTAAGGTCTCTAAGCCTTGTCCAGCAAGTCACAAATCTCTTACGTATCTTTCTTATGTATATTTCCCTTATTCACATTAGGAAATATAACATTACATGAATATAGAATATATGGCTAATACTCCCCCTCAAGTTGGAGTGTGAAGATCCTGAACACCTAACTTGGACAGTAACTTCGAAAACTGCTGGCGACCAAGTGACTTTGTTAGGATGTCAGCTATTTGATCATTGGTGCGAATGTGTTGAGTAACAATGGTGCCATCTTTAACTGCATCACGAACCGAGTGACAATCATTCTCTATGTGTTTCGTACGTTCGTGGAAAACCGGATTGGCAGCGATGTGTATAGCAGCTTTGCTATCACAAAAGAAACGAGTTGGAGAACTTTGATCAATACCAAGCTCAGTCAACAGACGCCTAAACCACTTGGTCTCACGAAGAGCAGCAGCCATGGCTCTGTACTCGGCTTCAGCGGAAGAATGTGATACAGTTTTCTGCTTCTTCGTCTTCCAAGATACCGGTGATCCACCAAGCATGACTACAAACGAACTCAACGATCGTCGGGTAAGCGGACAAGATGACCAGTCAGCATCACAATATATTGTGAGTGTGAGGTCTGTATCGGACTTGAGTAACACTCCTTGTCCAGGAGAACCTTTTAAATACCTAACCAGGCGAAGAGCTGCTTCCCAGTGAGCTATCTTTGGAGCTTTCATGAATTGAGATAAGATGTGAACGGCGTAACAAAGTTCAGGCCGTGTATTGAGGAGATAAATAAGACGTCCAAGGAGTCTACGATACCTCTTCGGATCCTCAAGTAACGGACTAACCACTGTTGACAAGCCATGATTCTGTTCAATGGGTGTAGCCGCAGGTCGACAGCCTAGATTCCCAGTTTCTGCAAGAATATCCAGTGTGTATTTTCTTTGTGACAAGAAAATTCCTTCTGGTCCACGACTGACCTCAATACCAAGAAAATATTTCAGCTTTCCAAGATCTTTCATGCTGAAACACCTACTCAAATAATCCTTAAACTTCTGAAGCATATAGGTCTCATTCCCACATATCAAAAGATCATCCACGTAAATGAGTACCCTTAACTCAATATTTCCCCGAGCATAGGAGAACAATGAGTAATCTTCATAGGACTGAACAAATCCAAACTTTATGAGAGCATCAGACAACTTCTTAAACCAACACCGAGGAGCCTGTTTGAGCCCATACAACGCCTTCCGTAATCGACATACCTTGTCTGGAAACTTATGTCGAAAACCAGGAGGAAGTTTCATGTAAACTTCTTCTTCAAGATCTCCATGTAAAAAAGCATTATTGACATCCATTTGGTATACTTCCCATTGTTTTGCAGCAACAAACCGCAAGAGAGAACGGACGGTGTTCATCTTTACCACGGGTGCAAACGTCTCCGAGTAATCTTCTCCTTCTACTTGCTTATTACCTTGCACAACAACTCGAGATTTATATCTTTCAACTGTGCCGTCAGCCTTATACTTGATCTTATGAACCCATTGACTACCGAGTGCCACTTTCCCAGATGGAAGATCAGTTATATCCCAAGTTCGTTGACCTTCTAGAGCTCCAATCTCAGTTTTCATCGCATCACGAAAAACCTTCTGCATCACTGCCTCCTTAAAGTTTTTAGGTTCTGAAACAGCCGTAATCGCTGCCAAGTATGCGCGATGCCCTGGAGAAAACTGAGCATCTGAAATAAAATCAGACAACGGATAGAGAGACTGAGATGTACCTGAGACCGACGAGGACTGAGATGTGGACGGAGAGAGAGCGTGATTGGCGACAGGGTCTACTCGAACTGCGTTGTACGTAACAAAATCTTTGAGACGAACAGATTGTGTCTTTTCTCTATGGCCTCTGCCAAGACTCTCTTGAGACGGCTCCAGTTCAACCGCATCACTAGACTCTGTAGAAGCAACTGGCTCTGCAGACTGCTCTTCTTCAACAGCAGGAGAAGAATCGTGCGTAACCAACTCAACGCCACTCTCTTCTGTACCCATCTCTTCTGTAACGAGGTTACTCCCCCTGTCATCTGGTGTGATAACCCAATCCTCATCATCTTCTTCCACTGGTGAAACTTGATCCGTAGAGGACAAGCTACCCTTCTCTGCAAACGGGAATATATCTTCCTGAAAGACTACATCTCGGGACACCAAAAATTCATTCTTCTCAATGTCGTATACTTTCCACCCTTTCTTGCCAAACGGGAAACCAACAAACACACACCGACGACTGCGTGGACCAAACTTATCTTTATCCCGTGAGGCTCGATGCACATAACAAGCCGAGCCAAAAACCCTCAATTGTTTATAGTTCGGCTTCACACCATGCAAAATTTCATACGGCGAACGTCCTTTGTGAACAGATGATGGCGTTCTATTGATTAAATATGCAGCAGTCAGCACCGCTTCCCCCCAAAATTTGATAGGAAGACTCGACTGGAAC